GGTCACTCCTAACTGCCCTCCCCTGCTGGATATCTTGTGGTGTCTATCTTGTGTCCCACATAGGAGTAGCATCTTGTGTGTTGGAGTGATGATCAATTTGCATATTACTCTTTTATTAGATAGGATAGAGGCCTGATGCATGGGTAGGACCAGATGGTTTTCCCTGAAGGATGTCCCAGATCAGGATGGGGGTTCCCTTGGGGCATGGGGCAGCCTGTGTGAGGGGCCTATGGTGGTTTGCAGGCCAGCCACACCTCCTGGTGACCCAAGCTAAGGCCCTGGTATCTGGGATTTATTTATCTTCTATAATTGAAATTGTGTAGCCTTGAGTGGAGGCTAAGGCAAGCCAGGGTGTACAGAAACCTTGGCTTCCTCCATTGCCAGGGAAAACCAAACCTCCTGCTTGCTCCATGGCCACAGCCATCTTGGTTTGGCTAATTTGCATACTCACTCCTGATTGGCTGGTGGGCATGGCTTGTGGGTGTAGTGGGGTGGTGTTTAATTTGCATATTACTCTTTTATTAGATAGGATGGGTGGTCCACAGTGATCATAATGTTTAGGACTCAAAATGCCATAGAATAAATACCCAAATGTTAATTAAATGAAATGCCAGCCTATTGAGTCTATTCAGAGGATACTTAGAAGAAAAAATTAGGTTTTATCTTTTAATTAAAATTATTTTCTTAATTGGATCATTATAATTATTCCCTCTGTCCTTTCTTCTTTATCAGACATTGATTCATTCAGAAAATAAATAAAATAAAAATTCACCTTAGAATTTTCTAGTAATTCCATTTTCCTGGCTATTTTTATATTTTGCTTTAGTATACTTTTATGAATAAAATAATACAATAGTATATATAATATATATTTACAAAATTTTATCACTCTGATAATATTGATTCAAGGTAAAATAATTTAGATCATGTGGTTGCCTCTATGTGATAATGATTAATCTGAACTCAGTTTATTTTGTTTCTCTGATATATCTTTAAAATATTTCCTTATAAAAATATATACAATCTATAAAATAAAGAAATCAAGACTGAGTGGAAATTGCTCAAGAGGGGAAATGAGGGTAGGAAAAGAGATGAGTAGACGAAAGATGAGTACAGTTCATGCATCCCCAAAGTTCCTGCCCACCTACTATCAATGGACACAAAGTTAGCCCAAAGCTTTCTAATAGTTAACACAAGGTTGGGTCAGTGACTCATGGAATGGTTCACAGCATCCTTGAAATAAAAAGAACATATTCATTCAGGAAAAGGTCTATTCCAGGAACTAGAACCAGAATTCTCCATGTGATTTGCTGAAAAAAATATTAGAAATTACATCCACAGCTACATTTTTACATACAATCAGAGTATTCTGATATTTATAGTCATAACATCCTCAAAGCACACTGTGCTAGGACCAGAACACAATCAGATGCACACGACTATCACATAAGCAGGGCTGGTGCTGCCACGGGTCTGGGCGGTAGGCTTCATGCTTTCACTTCACATCAGCGCTGTCCTGTGTGCACACACGAGAGCTCGTTTACATGTGGACACAGAGAAGAAAGAGGGCCCAATTCCACTTTCAAACATTTTTGATTGATTATTTTTGGCCCCATTTTCTCACCTAAAATACAGTTTGTAAAGTTACAGATCAGAGCAAAGTCTAACCAAAATAACTATTTCAGACATCCTCAATCGCTGGCTCTCACGTTAGGTAGAATAAGTAACGAGTTCTACGTTACCCTTTCCGATAGCTTTTTGTAATATTGCTACTTTATTTTTTCTTGTTTGATATGAAATTAACTGCTTGAGGTGTGAGTAGAACTAAACTAGTGTCCCATCATTGCAAGGTAATGGCGTTGGTGAGGAACACATACCTGAATGGGCATCCTAGATTGGGATAGGGCATTACAAAGTAATTTGGCTTTTATTTCAAGAACAAAGAACAAAGTTAAAAAGGTGTTTTGAAATGGATGCCACTTAAAACCTACATAATAATCAAGAAAAATCTCAAATAAGCAACCTAACTTTACACTTTTACACTTCAAGAAATTAGGGAAAAAGAGTAGAAGAGAAATAACAAAGATCAAAGATTGTAATAAATAAAATATAGACAGAAAAGACAATAGAAAAGATCTATAAAACTAAAAGCTAGTTCTTTGAAAAGATAAGCAAAATTAGCAAACCTTCAGCTAGAATCATCAAGAAAAAAAAAAGAGGAAACTCAAATGAGTAAAAAATAAGAGATTTTACAATTGATATTTCAGAAATACAGATTTATAAAAGACTATTATGAATGATATTAAACCAACAAATTTGACATTATAGAAGAAATGGATACATTTTTAGAAATGTACAACCTAATAAGATTGAATTATAATGAAATAAAAATTGATTTGATCAATTACTAGTAAGAAGATCAGTAATCAAAAACCTCCCAATGAACAAAATTCCAGAACTGGATGGCTTCACTGGTGAATTCTACTATACATTAAAGCCACTACTTTTAATTAATTAATGCCATTTTAAGTAATTAATGCCATTACTTTTCAAACTTTTAAAAAAAATAGAAGAGGAGGAAACACTTCCAAACATATTTTACAAGGTCCTGATAACAAAACCAGGTAAGGAGGCCACAAAAAGAAAATTACAGGCCAGTATCCCTGAGCAACATAAAAGCACAAATCCTCCACAAAATATTAGCAAAACAAATCCAACAATACATTCAAAGATCCCATACCATAGTCTAGTAAAATTTATTTCAGGTTTTCAAGGATGGTTCAACCTCCTCAAATCAGTCAAAGTGATATACCACATTAACAAAATGAGAAATAAAAACATATGATCATCTGAATCACTGCAGAAAAAGCATTGACAGAATTCAATATCCATTTACAATAATTCTCCATAAAGTAGTAATGGGGGTGGGGAGACATAGTATCAACATAAAGGAGCTGCAAGAGAAAGGACACATAGTGTGAACATTTCTCAGATATTTAAAGGAGTCTGAGATAAGGAGGAAAAAGAATGGGGCAGAATCATTTGGAAAAATCCTGGCTGAGAATTTTCTACAGCTAATGAAAGATATAAAACCATAGGTTCAAAAAGCTCTAAAACCTAAACAGAATAAATAGAAATAAAACCAAAACCAAAGGTAGGCATATTAAAATAAAACTACTAAAAATCAAAGAAAAATAAAACACCTTAAAGTTCCAGGTTATTTTGTGGATATTGATGACTTAACTTTATTGTAAAATTTAAATGGAAATTCAAAGAAAAGAGTAATTGACAAAACAATTGTGATGAACAAATTAGGAGGATTTATTCTACAAACAAAAAAAATTATATGTAATCTTCAGAAATTAAGCCATTGTTGCACAGTGTGGGGATAGAACATAGAGAATACATGACTAGTACACATTTGTAGTCAGTGATTTATAGCTATGGTGGCAATGCAGATGACTGGTGCAGGATGGTTGTTTTGAATCATGGGATTGGAAATTGGATAAACACAAGGAAAAAATACTTGACCTTAAATTCACTTTATGCACAAAGTCAATTCTAGATCAATGTAGATTAATTGTTAAAGGTAAAATGGTAGAGTTTTTAGCAGTAAACAACAGGAGAGCTCAGCACACTTTGAGCAGGTAAGTGGGGAGGAGGTATAAGATGAACTCAGAAGTTGGTCCTTTGAGGCATCATGCTCAAGAATTTGGCTTTGTTTAAAATTCTAATAATCATGGCCCGGCTGATGTTCAAGATTTTCTTCACATTTCTGTTCAAGTCATTCCCTCTTCTAACATAAAGTTACTAAGTATTCTACCTTGATCTCATTCATTCTAGAGCATGATATGAATATTAGTCTTATTGAAATTGGCATAAAGTATATTTCTTGCAACTTTGAGAAATATTTTATTGACATAAAAAGGACATGGTAAAACTAAAACGTGATTCACAGCTTTTAAATACATATTTAAATATTTATACTGTTCTTGAAACTGTAAGACTTTTGTTCCTTTTTGTGGTAAAAACACTTAACTCTCGTAAAAAATTTCCATGTCCAATACTGTGCCATTATCCACGGACAGCAGGCAGCACAGTGGACCTCCGGCACACATTCACCTTCCTCGGTGAGACTTCACCATTTCCTCTCCTCCAGCCCATGGCAACACAGCTTTATCTCTTCTTCCTTGAACTTAGTTCCCACATGGCATATAAGTGGGCTCATCCACTATTTGTCTTTGTATGACTAGCTTATTTTATTTAGTTTGAGGTCTTCCAGGTTCTACTATGTTGTACATATTGCCAGCATGCAAAAGAATGAAATTGGACTCTTATCCCATACCATACACAAAAATCAACTCAAAATGGATTAAAGACCAAAACATAAGATCTGAAACTATAGAAGTCCTAGAAGGAAAAACTAGATGGAACTCTTCTGTGTAAGGCTGATCACATATGATTCTGAATATATTCTTTGTGTTGAGACGGGCTATTAAAGTGTTTGTAGTCTGTTACAAATCTCCATGTTGCCAAAAATATTGCTATAAGTAACATTAAAACACAGATGTAGGTAGGTGGATCATTGTAAGAACTTTTCTTTCTTTCTTTTTTGTTTAATTCTCACCAGAAGCTATTTTTTTCATTGATTTTTAGAGATAGCGGAAGAGAGAGAGAAAGGCAGAGAGAAACACTGATGTGAGAGAAACACGTCAATTGGTTGCCTCCTGCATGTGCCCTGACCAGGCCCCTGGCTGGGAAGGAGCCTGCATCTGAAATATGTGCCCTTGACTGGAATAAAACCCGGGACCCTTTGGTCCGCATGCTGCTCTGTCCACTGAGCAAAACTGCCTAGGGCCTTTGTATGAACTTTTTACAAGTATCCTATTCCACTACCTTCTAGAGTGGATAACATTACTGTGTTGCTAATAAAATATAATAGAAGATTGCATTTATTGCCATGAATGTGATACTTATTATAATTTGAACATTTTACTTACATCTTTGAGATGACCAAAAGTTGGTTTAGCTGTTTGGAGCATAAGTTGCTGGGTCACTGGATCTAATTCTAGAGGAAAGCCAAAGAATATATTCAGAATCATATCAATACTACACGACAATAAAAAAGAAAGAACTCTTACCATTTGCAACAGCATACGGGTAGATGAACCTGGAGAGCATTATGCTAAGCATAATAATCCAGTTAGAGAAAGATGAATATCACATGAACGCAATCATTTGTGGTATCTAATGAACAACATAAACTACCAAAATAGACCCAGAGACATAGAAGTACGAAGAGACTATCGAACCTCAAGAGAAAAGGCAGGTAGGGTAGGTGGGAAGAAATCAACCAATGAACTTGTATGCATGTTTGCATCACCCATGGACACAGACAATGGGGTGGTGACGGTCTGGTGGGGGGACAGAGTGGGCCAGAAGAAGTCAATGAGGGGAAAGAGGAACTTATGTAATACTTTCAACAATAAAGATTTTAAAAAATAGTCCTAGCCAGTTTGGCTCACTGAATAGAGCATCAGCCTGTGGACTGAAGGGTCCTGGGTTCAATTCTGGTCAAGACACAGGCCTAGGTTGCAGGCTTTATCCCCAATAGGGGGTGTTCAGGAGGAAGCCAATCAATGATTATCTCTCATCATTAATGTTTTTTTTTTCCTCTCCTCTCTTCCTCTCTGAAATCAATGAAAATATTAAAAAATAATAAATAAATAAATAACAAAGTAATAAAAATAGGCAAAAAGTAGAGAAGTTGCTAGATTTTTAGTCTTCTTTTTATAAATGTTTTGATATAGAAGATGAATTTAAATTTATACTAATTATAAAATTGATTCATTGATACTTCTTCCTAAATTCATATTCAAAGACACCTAAATCATCACAGAGAATTTTAGTATAATCACTTAATCTATTTTGCATAATGTCTCACTTCATAATCAGAGACTGAAAATTGTTTCATACTTAAGATGTGGCAGACATTATTGGTTACCCCAAGGCCATGTCCTTATTCCTGCCAGACTCACGTTTTGTACAGAGGCTACAAACACCAGGTGTTTGGGTGTTTTTGTTTCAGGTCTCTATGTTCCTGAGGCACAAGCCTGTGACCAAACCTAAAGTAGTCATAGTTTACCATCCAAATGGCACACTTGCGGCACATCAGCCCCCAAAAGACTCGGGTTTTACCCAGCTTAAACCTTACACAGTCCCAGTACTGGGCTCAGGCATGAGTCTGAAATGCACAAGGTAAACCACCTCTGGAGGAAGTGGCATCGTTCAGACATGAGAATGACTTGCCACATTTTGACACAATGGTTAGGGTTCAGTCATAAATTACCAGGTGTCAGAACATGAGATCAGTTCCCACAAACAGGAAATAAAAATAAAATGAAAAAGTACAGAGATTCAAGCGTTATCTAGATGTTAAGGTTATAACATAAGGACTTTATAAGAACTATGATCCACAGGCCTATGAAAACATGCCTTAGGGTAGACATTTTAGTAAACAGTTAACATCTATATACATAAAAGGCTAATATGCTAAGTATCTGACCACCTGAGTAATTACATCACATAGCAACACCTGGCTTCCTCTCCCTAGTGACGACTAGCGTCCTTGCAGGTTCTTCAGCTCAGGAACACCATGACTTGCTTTATAACTGGCCTGACACCAGCTGGCCCATCACAACCCACGTCAAGTCCCCGTTTTCAGTCCTGGGAGGCTAGAGCTGCTCACAGGAAGTGTGAGGAGTAACCCGGCTCACCCGCACGGCTTCCTTCCTGACGGCATGGTGTGGGCTCTTTCTACTTTCCTCGGGAGGACGTGTTTCAGGCAGCATCTTCCTGGCTCAGAAACATCTTCCCTGTTTGTTCCTAAGTGACCAGAACCTTCCATGTTCACCCAACATCCAGGATGGCCAGCTTTATAGCCAGGTGGAAACATTTCATACTGTAACCAAATGTCTGTGAAGTGTTTTCCCGAGCCTCATCTCATTTGATCCTCAAATAGGTAGATAGGAGACTCAGTGGAATTCTATCGGGTCTAGTAATACTTAATGTCGTTTTTAAACATTTGTTTAAAATCTTGCTTGGCGTTGACTTGTATTGACATAACCTTCAAACACATGGTATCTACAGAACGTGTGAAGTGCAATTAACAAGTTTTGCTTGAAAAAGTTTGTGTTTGGTTTGGTTTTTGTTGCAAAACTAGGGCTAAGAAGATGGCGGATGAAGAGCATATTCGGCACTGCATGCTTTACAAGTTCCAATTAGGAAGAAAAGCAAGTGAGGCTGCAAAAAACATCTGTAGTGCTCTTGGTCAAGATGCAGTTAGCGCCAGAAAATGTCAGCATTGGTTTGAGAAATTTCGCGAGGGAAATTTTTCGTTAGATGACAAGAGTGGTCGAGGCCATGTGTCCAATTTTGATCAAGAAGCTCTTCAAGCTCTTTTGGTGCAAAATCCTCAAATTACCCAACAAGAGCTTGCGACAACTTTAAATTGTTCACAAAAAATAATTTCCAATCAATTGCGTGCACTTGGCAAAGTCCAAAAGTTTGGAAAATGGGTTCCTCATGAGTTGACCAACAACAACCGTAATTAAAGAGTCACAATTTGCAATTCGCTCCTCTCTCGTCAAAACCGTTTGCCGTTTTTAGAGCAAATTGTTACCAAAGATGAAGAATGGGTGCTGTATGTTAATTTCAAAAGGCGGCCTCAATGGTTGGACAAAAATGAGGCTCCGCAGCCCACGCCAAAACCTGACTTGCATGCGAAAAAAGTGATGTTGTGTGTTTGGTGGAATTTTAAAGAAATTCTTCATTATGAACTTTTACCATCTAACCAAACCATTACAAGTGCAGTGTATAGTGCCCAATTGGAAAGGTTAGCCCAAGCTTTAAGAGAAAAAGAACCCGCGCTGATTAATCGGAAGGGCGTAATTCTTCACCACGATAACGCACAACCGCATACTGCAAGAATCACTGCTGAAAAACTGCGCCAGTTGGAATGGGAAGTTCTCCCTCAACCTGCATATTCTCCTGATATTGCCCCTTCCGATTACCATTTGTTTCGTTCTTTGCAAAACTTTCTTCTTGGAAAAAAATTTAATAATGAAGAATGCCTCAAAAATGCATTGACCGAATTTTTTGCATCAAAATCACAAGAATTTTACAACAGATGGATTAAAATGCTTCCTGAGCATTGGGCACAAGTAGTAGAAAACAACGGCAACTATATTGTTGATTAAATTTTGTTGTATTGTTTAAATAAATTCAATTTAAAAAAGTATTAGAAAACGACATTAATTATTACTAGACCTAATATTTTCTTTTCATTAGCCAGAAAACAGAGATTTGGAAACCTCAGAAACTTGACTCAATTGAAAAGGAGTAAAAAATGGTGGACCTTGAAAATGACTTCAGGTTTTCTCACTGCCCAGAATATAGTAAACACAAATATTTTACCCTTTGTTCTCCCTGAATGATCTACAATAATAATCTGCTTTGTGTTGAAATTTACTGCTGTTTCACTGACAAGTACCTGAAAGAGAAATTGGGGTGCTTCACTGGGCTGAAAAAAAGTTCAGGTAAATCAGAAAGCAGAGTAAACAAGTTTATTCTATGTCTACAAAAGGCTAAGTTGACTTGAGCATGTATGATACATATAAAGCTCTCACTGGTGCCAATCACACGTGTTTGTTTTGATCTGTCATTGTAAAACAGAATTTGGTTGATACTTCTATTATAGAGAAGGGTGACTAGCAATATTAAAATATTTCTTCTAATTAATTTTCTTTCAATGCCCATGAATTTGTGCACTGGGCCACTAGTCTGCTAATAAAAATTAAAAGATAATTATATCATTAATAATAAAATAGCAAAAATGAAGGAGTGATAGGTGGATTAACAAGATTAGACACAAAGGATCATTAATTCAGGTGACTCCAAAGAAAAGGCTGAGCTTGAAGGAAGGGAATAAAATAGGTTAGAAAAAAAAGAAAGAAAGAAAGAAAATGTTTAGCACACTTAGAATTATAGTTCCATGGAAAAAGGAGACAATGAAATACAAGCAATATATGAAAGATAATTACCAAGAATTCAAGACATATACTAAAAAGTAAAAGTATATTATAGAACTAAAGAGGAAAGGTAACTCAATAGAGGAAAATGTCTAGAAGGTAATAAAAGAAAGTATCTTCAGTAATTCCTTAAAAAAGCACAAATCAGAATATATGAGGGGAAATGATGAGTTGGGTTGCATTAAAATTAAATTAACTTCTTATCTAATGAAAACATTAGAGAAATTAAGAGAAAATTCAAAGCAAAAAGGAGGATAGAATATTTGTAATGCATGCACCTGACTGGCATATAATTTATGGAAAAAAATCTACAAATCAGTAGAAATATAGGCCAGCTAATATTCAAATGAGACAATATCCAGATGATTATACCTTAAGATTGCTTAACTTTGTTATTCTTCAAAGTAATACAAATTGAAACCACAATGAGATAACACTATATATCCATCCAATTGCTGAAAATAAAAAGCAGAATATATCAAGAGTTGGTAGGAATTGGAATTTATGAGAATTCTTATAGGCTGATGGACAAAGTGAAAATGTGCACATGGCAATTTGAAGAGTCATTTTTCAGTATTTGCCAATGCTGAGCTTAAGCATAAACTATGAGCTGGAAATGTTATTCTGAGAAGTAGGTCCACTCAAAATATGTGCAGGAAAAGGCATTTAGTAGGAATAAAAATTCTCATGGCAGTGTGTTCATAATAGATCCAAATCAGGAACAACACCAATATCTAATGACAATAGAACTGATGTAGCATGTTCAGATAAGAGGATGTGACACTGCAATAAAACAGTGCACTGATGTTAGCAACAGCGTGGAAACCATGCTGAGTGAAGGAGGCCATCTACTAAAGATAAAGTATGTTCCCTTATTAAAAATCAACGTGGAAATGAGCCCAATTTCTTCATGGAATTGCCAATAAGACAGGACGAACTCGGAGACAGACTCAGGTCAAGTAAGGACTTCGGGGGTAAG